GAAACGTATGCACCTGTAGCACGTTTAGAAGCTATTCGTTTACTTCTTGCTTTTGCTTCGTCTATGGATTTTAAACTTTATCAAATGGATGTTAAGAGTGCCTTCCTCAATGGTTTTATTCAAGAGGAAGTGTATGTTGACCAGCCCCCGGGGTTTGAGGACTTTGAGTTTCCCGATCACGTCTTCAAACTCAAGAAAGTGCTCTACGGTCTTAAACAAGCACCACGTGCTTGGTACGAACATTTGAGTAAATTTCTTTTGGATAGTGGTTTCCAAAGGGGAAAGGTTGACACTACACTTTTTATCAAAAGTAAAAACAATAACATCCTTTTGGTTCAAGTTTATGTAGACAACATAATATTTGGTGCTACTAACGAGTCTTTGTGCAAGGAATTCTCAACGCTCATGACTAGCGAATTTGAAATGTCAATGATGGGCGAGCTCACATTCTTCTTGGGACTCCAAGTTAAGCAAATGAAAGATGGAACATTCATTTGCCAAGCTGAATATTGCAAGGAGCTCCTAAAACGGTTTGAAATGGACAACGCCAAAGCAATGGTGACCCCCGATGAGCACGTCTGACCATCTTGACAAAGACGAGAAAGGTAAGGAAATAGAGGTCAAAAAGTATCGAGGTATGATCGGATCCCTTCTCTATCTTACCGCTAGTAGGCCGGATATCATACTTAGCGTATGCCTTTGCGCGAGGTATCAATCATGTCCGAAGGAATCGCACTTAACCGCGGTGAAACGGATCATGAAATACCTTGTCGGCACGGTTAACGTTGGACTGTGGTATCCAAAAGGCTCTTCTTGTCATCTCGTCGGTTATTCCGACTCGGACTTTGCCGGTTACAAATTAGACCGTAAAAGTACGAGTGGGACTTGCCACTTACTTGGTAGCTCTCTAGTCTCATGGTTTAGTAAGAAACAAGTCAGTGTTGCGTTATCCACAACCGAAGCGGAATATGTAGCCGCCGGCAGTTGTTGTGCTCAAATCCTTTGGATGAAGCAACAACTCGTGGACTATGGCCTTAGTATCAATCACGTCCCTCTTCGTTGTGATAATACTAACGCCATAAGCTTGACGAAGAACCTCGTTCTTCACTCAAGGACGAAACACATTGACATTAGGCATCATTTCATTAGAGATCATGTTCTCAAAGGTGATGTCGAAATTGAGTTCGTTGAAACACACAACCAATTAGCCGACATTTTCACAAAACCTTTAGAGAAAGAGTCGTTCTTTCGCATTCAAAGTGAACTCGGAATCCTTGACTCCACGATGATCTAAGTTGTGCATCTAAATTTACTAAACATCTACTAACTTGAGCGTCGGAGAACTTTTTCTTTTTTGCAGGTACCCCGTCCATAAAATCAGGGGGAACCATGCAAACAGCGCTGTCCAGGAGACACAACAGCGCTGTTTAGGGAAACACCGTCAACCAGAAAGTTCTCCAACAGCGCTGTCTATCTAGACCAACAGCGGTGTCCCAGGGAGTACCTTACACTTTTACTTCCAGAAACTTTTTCAACAGCGATGTCGTTTAGAGCAACAGCGCTGTCCAATTTTACAAATTTTTTTTATCGTAAAACAGCGATGTAGAGAAACCCAACAGCGCTGTTCAAATGGGTTCAAACCCTTTCACCATTCCAGAAACTTTTGAAACATCGTTGTAGGGCACTCAACATCGCTGTCGGTTTTACTCTTGTTTTTTTTAAAAACTTGACGCAGAACAGCGCTGTACAAGGAACAACAGCGCTGTCCCAACAGCGATGTCGCCTGTAGAACATCGCTGTTCTGGTCAAATTTTTCAAAAAAATATCCGTTGCACCTGCTTTAATTGCTCCAACAACTCTTTTTTTCAAATTCTTGAACGTTGGCCACCCTCTCTCCTATATATTTGGACCCCCTCTTCTCATCTTTACACACACAAACACAAACTTCTTCAATCTCCTTGCATATTTTATCCTCTCTAACATTCTTTTTGAGATTTCTTCATCACCATGGCCAAAGATAAGAACAGGGCAGGAGCTTCCGGAAAATCCAAGGCAAAATCCCGGGCACCGGTAACCAATCCCGAGGATCGCATCGACTACAACGATGGGACGTATCTCTGGTTCGATTCCGAGGAGGAGCGCACCCGTTTTCTCACCTTCTTCTCTAAACGGGTTGTGGCTCCCCCACGAATCATCCCGGAGCGCTACCCGGAGCTGCAAGGCTACGACGACCTTGACGCACAGCTTCATCAAGCCGGTCTTTGGCCGTTCGTCTCCCGGGCACGCAAGGAGATCAACCCGGCACTAATTCGGGCCTTCTACTCCAACCTCCGCTGTGAGGACGACGTGCTCTACTCGCTCGTCAAGAGCACGCCGATCGAGCTCACTGTGGAGCGGTTTGGACGCATCGCCGGCCTCCCCTTCCAAGGCGACGATGTGTCACACTATGGTGGAGAGGATTGGGTGCTCAACAACGAGGGCCTTATCCTCAACGAGCTTGGCATCACCGAGCTCAAACGCCATGCCTCAGGCCGCCCAACCATCCACTCCGCCAAACCCGAAGGCCGCCTGGTCCTCTACATCGTCACCCGAATCCTCAAACCCAGGAAGCACGGCCACACCATCATGCACGGTGAAGACCTCAAACTTATGCACGCAATCATGCACTCGGCCCCAATCAATTGGGCAAAGTTCGTCATGATCAACATGACGATTGCTGCGTCCACCGAGCACGACCACCTCCTCCCGTACCCGTTCTTGGTGATGGACATCCTTGAACGGTTCA